TCTCTTATCACACAAGACTCCAGATGCTAACCTTCACTTCATCCACCCCACCCCAATACGGTGTATGACATCCTCGTCAATCCCCCTTCCCTCTTGATAACCGACCCAAGGTACTTGAATTTGTTACTATTTGGTATGACCTGTGATTCAAGCCTCACTTTCACGCCCACTTCCCTCGGCTCAATGCTGAACTTACACTCTAGGTATTCCGTCTTCGTCCTGCTTAGCTTGAAACCCTTAGACTCAAGGGCCTGTCTCCAGATCTCTAACCTCTCGTTAAGACTAGTTCGCGACTCGTCAATCAGAACTATGTCATCTGCGAATAACATATACCATGGCACCTCCCCTTGAATATGGTGTGTTAACACGTCCATTACCAGGGAAAATAAGAACGGGCTGAGCGCAGAACCTTGGTGTAACCCCATAACAACTGGAAACTGCTTGGAGTCGCCTCCTATAGTCCTAACCCGAGTCTTAGCCCCATCATACATGTCCTTAATTACCCAAATGTAGGCAGCAGACACGCCTTTTGCTTCTAAGCATCTCCATAGAACTTCTCTAGGAACCTTGTCGTACGCTTTCTCTAAATCAATAAATACCATGTGCAGATCCTTCTTCCTCTCTTTGTACCGTTCCACCAACCTCCTAATAAGGTGTATAGATTCCGTAGTAGAATGACCCGACATGAATCCGAACTGGTTGTAGGATATAGACACTGTCCTCACCACCCTCGCTTCAACCACCATCTCCCAAACTTTCATGGTATGACTAAGTAATTTGATACTCATATAATTGTTACAACACTGGATATCACCTTTGTTCTTATACAACAGAACCACCGTACTCTACCTCCACTCTTCTGACATCCTCTTCGTCCTAAAAATAACATTAAACAGTCATGTCAGCCACTCCAAGCTTGCTCTACTCACACACTTCCAAAATTCAATCGGAATTTCGTCTGACCCGGTCGCTCTACCCATACTCATCTTACGCATAACTCCCACGACCTCCTCAACCTCGATGCGCCTGCAGTCCCCAAAGTCACGGTGACTCTCGGAATGCTCCAGTTCACCTAGCACAATATCTCAATCCCCTTTTTCATTCAGAAGTTCATGAAAGTAAGTCTGTCATCTCCTCTTAATCTGAGCATCTTCCATCAATACTCTACCATCGTTGTCCTTGATGCATCTCACTTGGTCCAAATCCCGGGCCTTCCTCTCTGTCTCTCTCTCTCGTCTTCGCCAGCCGGAATAACTTCTTCTCTCCGCCTTTTCCCCCAGTTCCTCGTACATACGACCATAGGCTGCAGTTTTAGCCTCCGTGACCGCCAGCTTTGTTTCCTTCCTAGCTACTTTATACCACTCCATATACAGCTTTGCTTCCTTCCTAACTACCTTAAATAATTCATATAAAGCTGAATTCAATTCATTTTCTTCAAGATATAAAATATGCTAATCAAAATTTAAGGAAAGAAATTTGCGGTTTTTCAATTTTTGTACAAGACATATTATTCGCAAGAATAATAATTACCATCTTTAAACAAGATGAGAAGAGGATGTAGAAGATTCTTTAAAAAATGGTGTAAACTTTTCGTACTTTTCTGCTTTTTATTTGCTTTCCCTATACTCTTTTGTCATCTCGTAAGAGAAAGAGCCAGTTTGGATATAAGAATTTTTTTTTTTTTTTAATTTTTACTTAAAGATAACTTTTAATTTTTTTTGAAAATTTAAAAAATTCTAAAAAATTATTTTCAAAATTTTCACCTCAGTTCACTCATAAAAATTCAAAAATAACTCAAAATTATATTCATGTCCAAAACTCCAAATACAACTCTAATTTTCAAATATCATTTTCACTTGAATTTTTTATTTTTACTTTTTTTTTGGAATTTTACAATTCTTATGTCCAAATACCCACTAAGGGTAAAGTTTTTCGTTCATTTTCAACCAAAAAAACAAAAGTAATTACTTAAATCACAATAGATTTTTCTACATAATCAGAAGGGAAAAAAAAAAAAAAAAAAAAAGAAGAGGCGGCTCTTACTAGTGTAATTTTTTTTTTATTGTTTAACACTGCAGTTTTGCGTCTACATATTTCAAAAAGCACTTGTTAGATTCGTTTAATTTACAAAGACCCAAGCACTTTTGTCCAGATTCAATGTATTTATTAGTCGAGAGCCATAGTCCAAATTATTTGCTAAAAATATATTAAAAATTAAAAAAAGAACAAGAGTCCAATTTCAGTTTTTGCCCTTTGACTGTTTGCTACTCCACTCGCATTCATTACGCGCTCCCACGCACCTCTTCAAGTACATATACAATCAACCGAAAAATAGTTCATCCATTTACTTTTACTTGTCATGTTTTAACTTTTCACGTTCCTTAAAAAATAATAAATAAAATATATAATTTACCATAATACCCATATTAATTGATAAATATTTTTAATGACTTTGAGAAAATGATTTGAAATGAGTAATTAATGATGCATGTATAACACGAAAAAGAAAATTATCTTCTCTTGATATGCTAAAAGTGACAAGTAAAAATGAACATCTATTTTTAGAATATTGGACAAGTAAAATGAAGGGCAAACCGTAACGATGTGTGATATTGTAATAGCCAAACTCACACTTTAGTTATTTGGTTTATGTATCTATGAGTTACATTCAAATAACTACTACATACAAGTCAAGTTTTATTGAATAATTTGAAGTCAAGTTTGCACAATCATTTAAGATGTAATCACAAGATCACCAAACTAGATATAAAAATTAAGATACATAATTTTATTGTTGACGAGTCGAGACTCGAACACAAGTTTTTTTATAAATGTAAACTTAAGAATCAGAACAATACAAAAATCACATTACTCCCTACTACGAAAGCCCCCAAATTCGTGTCGATATTAAAAAAAAGAACGTTCAAATTTATCCTTGCACTATTTAAAATGCACAATCTTAATTTTGTTACATTTATAGTTTATTCATACTCTTGTCATTATCAACAACAATAACAACAAACTCGGTGTAATCCCACAAATGGGTTATAGGGAAGGTAGAATATACGCAGACCTTACCCCTACCTTCAAGTAGACAGAAAGGATGTTTCAGGTAGATCCTCAGCTCATGAAAGGTAAAAGGATGGGCAACAACAAACATACCAATCAGAAAACTGAAACACTAACAGTAGGTATTGTAATCACAAAGCCGAAACGAAAGCAACAACAAGAAATAACAGAAGTCAAGTGATACGACAATAAACAAAGGACACTAAGTCATGTACTAGAGCTACTGTTACAGACAAGACAATGCTTGGCTACCTATCATAACCCTTTACCTTTATTCTCGACCTCCATACCTTCCTATCCATGGTCATGTCCTTAGTAAACTGGAGCAACGCCATATCCTGCCTAATCACCTCTCTCCAATTTTTTTCGACATGTCTCTACCTCTCCTCAGGCGCAACCTCTCGCACCTCCTTACATGAGCATCTGTATCTCTCTTCTTCACAAGCTCGAACCGTCTAAGCCTCGCCTCCAGCATCTTGTCCTCCATAGGGGCCACGTTCACCTTGTCCCGAATAACTTCATTTCTAATTCTATCTAACCTGGTATGCCCGCATATCCATCTCAACATCCTCATTTCAGTCACCTTTATCTTGCGGGCTGGGAGTTCTTGACTGGCCAACACTTTGCTACATACAACATATTCGGTCTGACCACTGCTCTATACAACTTACCTTTAAATTTTGGTGGCACATTCTTTTAGCATAAAACATCGGAAGCGAGCCTCCATTTCATCCACCAATGTGTAATATCCTCGTCGATCTCCCCATTCCCTTGTATAACTGACCCAAGGTATTTAAATTTTTCTCTCGTAGGGATGACTTGAGAATCAAGCCTCACGTCTTCATCCATTACCTGAGTGGCACCATTGAACTTGCACTCCAAGTATTATGTTTTGGTCCTACTCAACTTGAAATCTTTAGACTCCAGGCCTGCCTCCAAACCTCTAACCTCTCATTAACACCGCCTCGCGTCTCGTCAATCAGTACAATGTCATTTGTAAATAACATACACCACGACACCTCCCCTTGAATGTGGCACATCAGTGCGTCGATTGCCAAGGCAAATAGAAATCGGCTGAGGGATGACCCCTAATGTAACCCCATCATAACTGGAAAGTGTTTCGGGTCCCCTTCCATAGTCCTCACTCGAGTCTTAGCTCCCTCATACATGTCGTTAATATCCCTAATGTATGCAACAAGAACATCTCTAGCCTCCAAATATCTCCATAGAACCTCACTCGGTACTTTATCACAAGCCTTCTCTAAGTCGATGAACACCATATGTAAATCCCTCCTCCTCTCCTTGTACTGCTCCATTAACCTCCTAATAAGATGAATAGCTTCCGTAGTCGAACGTCCCAGCATAAATCCGAAGTGATTTTCAGAAATAGTCACAATCCTCCTCAACCTCAGCTCCACCACTCTTTCTCAGACTTTCATAGTATGGCTTAGTAACTTGATGTCTTGGTAGTTGTTGCAACTTTGGATATCACCCTTGTTCTTATACAACGGGACCATTGTACTCTATTTTTATTCTTCGAGCATCTTCTGCGTCCTAAAAATGATATTGAATAAGCCAGTGAGTCATTATCAAATCTTGTTATTAGTTCGATTTTTTTTTTCAAGATGTGCAATTGTGGCTGAGGATTTTTATTAGTGTATAGTTTTTGAAAGAATTCTAAAATATATAATACGTATATGTAAAATAGATTTACATGCGTTCTAAGTTTGGGAAATGTCGTTAGCTTAAATACGGAGTACTGTAAATGCGACTGTGCGTCGCCATTTTGAAAGGCGATATACGAGTTAGCATTTCTGTACACACAACGGACCAATTATCGGCGCGTGAAGAGGCAAAAGATACTGTCTCGTGCTAGGCACGTGACTCAGCACTAAAGAAAGCCATCAATCCTCCGCCTTTCTTCTTCACCACCCAAATATTCCCTTTCACCCACTCCCTCAAATATATCTGTAACACTCTCTCCGCCATTTTCACAAAATTCTCTGTTCGTAAAAAACCCTTGCTTTATTTCTCTATTTGATATTCGCTAGGGGTAAGGATGACGACGTCGTTTGGAGCAGCGATCAACGTCGCCGCCGTCGATGACCCGAACCCGAAGCTCCAAATTCAGAAGTTCAACGGGTTAAAAAGCACCTCCAATTCGCTGTTGCTTAGCAGACGTCTTCACGTTTTTCAGTCCTTTTCCCCGTCGAATCCCAGTTCTATTGTCCGCGCCGTATCTACGGTATAAGAAAAAGCTTACTTGTTTCCATTTTAATTTACTTTTCCTGATGTTTTAATTTAATTTTTAATGAAATGTTTTTTGTTGCCCATTGATTGAAGTGTCGATGTGTTTTTTTTTTTGGTGAATTTGTTTCGATTTGCGTATTCCATGCACTTTTTGAGTTTTTTTTTCAATCCAAGGTAATTTGACTATTGTCCTTGTCGCCTTATAAAGTTTCTATTTCAAGCAATTTCCGCCACATTTTGCCAATTTTACTTAAATTTTTTAGAAAATCGTTTTGGTTCCTTTTTTCTGCAACTCTATGTGCGCGCTGATTGAATTACTGTGATTTGTTTTCATTTTTCTTTTGTATATGCCATGCATTTTTTTTTTCCGGGTTTTTTTCTTAACAAAGGTAATTTGACAGTTTTCTGAGCTGGAATATAATTACCTTGCTTTTTGCTAGTAAATTCTATATATTCAAAAACTAATTTTTTTAATAAAAAGTAAAGTCTACATATTTTTTTTGCTAGTAAAGGCTAGACTTTTAATCATTCAAAAGGTAAAAAGTCTAGATTATCAAATTATTTCGTTTTGCCTTTTGCTTATTTTTTAATTTTTTGTGTTTTATGGTTGTGTCAAAAGAAGGAAAACAACAACTTTGTAAACCACTACTGTAATTTATGTTTCATAGGCCTAATGTTAGGAGGAATTCTGTCATTTTTCATTTTACTGTGTGCATGGTAAAAATTTGTAAAGCCTAATACATCCATTGATCTTTTGCAGCCAGCAAAGCCAGCTGCAGTGGAGCCCAAGCGTAGTAAGGTTGAAATATTCAAAGAACAGAGTAACTTCATAAGATATCCTCTTAATGAGGAGATTCTAAATGATGCCCCCAACATCAATGAGGCTGCAACACAATTGATCAAGTTCCATGGAAGCTATATGCAATACGACAGAGATGAGCGTGGGGGAAGATCATACTCATTCATGCTTCGGACAAAGAACCCTGGTGGGGAGGTACCAAACAGACTCTACTTGGTCATGGATGATCTTGCTGACCAATTTGGAATTGGGACACTTCGTTTGACGACAAGACAAACCTTTCAGCTGCATGGGGTCTTGAAAAAAGACCTGAAGACAGTAATGAGTACAATCATCAGAAACATGGGTTCAACTCTTGGTGCATGTGGTGACCTCAATAGGAACGTTCTTGCTCCAGCTGCCCCATTTGCTAAAAAAGATTATATGTTTGCTAAACAAACAGCTGATAACATTGCAGCACTTTTAACTCCCCAATCTGGATTTTACTATGACGTTTGGGTGGATGGGGAGAAAGTTATGACAGCAGAACCTCCTGAAGTTGTGAAAGCTCGAAATGATAACTCCCATGGAACAAACTTCCCCGACTCACCTGAACCCATTTATGGAACTCAGTTCTTGCCAAGGAAGTTCAAAATTGCAGTTACTGTGCCAGCTGATAACTCTGTGGACATCTTCACCAATGATATAGGCGTTGTTGTTGTATCTAATGAGGATGGAGAGCCTCAGGGATTCAACATATATGTAAGAAGGCAATCTAGGTTCTTGCTTCTTTCTTCTTTTGCTTGTTGTAGGGGCTAATGTATGTTATCCTTGACTTCTTTTGCAGGTTGGTGGTGGTATGGGGCGAACTCATAGGATGGAAACCACTTTTCCTCGTTTGGCAGAGCCATTAGGTTATGTGCCTAAAGAGGATATACTCTATGCTGTTAAAGCTATTGTTGTTAGTCAAAGAGAAAACGGCAGAAGAGATGATCGCAGGTACAGCAGATTGAAATATTTACTCAGCTCATGGGGAATCGAGAAGTTTCGATCTGTCACTGAACAGTATTACGGAAAGAAGTTTGAACCTTGCCGTGAATTGCCTGAGTGGGAATTCAAGAGTTATTTGGGATGGCATGAAGCAGTAAGTCTGCAGTAGGAACTCATCAAACTTTCATCTATGACAATTAGTTCCGTACTAGTGCTAATTGTGATGTTTACCCTTGATATACTTTGTTGATTATACCTTGTTCTTCAAATACTTTTGTCAGGGAGACGGTAGTTTGTTTTGTGGTCTACATGTTGACAATGGTCGTGTAAAAGGAGCGATGAAGAAGGCACTCAGGGAAGTTATTGAGAAGTATAATCTGAATGTGCGTCTCACACCCAACCAGAATATTATCTTGTGCAATATTCGACAAGCGTGGAAGCGCCCCATCACCACAGTTCTTGCACAGGGTGGTTTGCTGGTAAGGCCAAGTATTTGATTGATCCATGTATGCTTTCCATGAATGAATTGTTGAGATTCCCAATAAGTAGAAAGTATAGCAGTGTATTCTAGCCATTAATAAAAAAGAAAAAAAGAAAGCATAGCAGTGAACGGAATGCAATAATTCACAAAAGGGTCGTACTTTTAATTAATAAATGCTTATGGAATCTACTCAGTCTGAAAAGGTATAAACCTCTTAAAATTGTTGGTGTTCCGAGAAATCCTAGGAGTTGTCTGGTAATTCCCTCCCCCCAATTGTTGTATTTCACTTTTTACTACTACCTCCTTCTCAAAAGAATGGCGGAGTTCGGAGGACGAGTGTCGACTGAATGTTATTACCTTGGCGGCACACATCCTGCTGAAAATATGCAAACTTTTTGTGTGTGTGTGTGTGTGTGTATATATATATATATATATCCAAAATTTGAGCTGCTTGTTTCTTAATGTGAATGAATTGATATTTATGTTTTATAAGGTGGGATAGGTGAACCATGGAGCTGATGTGAATTTCCTCTAGTTTTCCTTGATAAAAACTTTTAGAATGCAGAAAATAGAGAGTTGCCCACTTTTCTTGATGGTCCTATATCCTGAAGTTTTTGTTTTTGGCATTTCATTATGGTCTTCGTCTTGGGTAATCTTTATCATTTTTCTTTGAAAAGCAACCTAGGTATGTGGATCCTCTCAATCTAACAGCGATGGCCTGCCCGGCTTTTCCGCTTTGTCCTCTTGCAATAACTGAAGCTGAACGTGGAATACCTGACATCCTCAAGCGTGTTCGAGCTATTTTTGAAAAGGTATGAAGTATTGCCATTTCTAAATTATTAGTTGTACAATCGGTTGCTTGTTTATATTGAACGAGATTGACCTTTGTGGTTCTAGGTTGGTCTGAAGTACAGTGAATCTGTCGTCATAAGGGTAACAGGCTGTCCTAATGGATGTGCTAGACCATACATGGCTGAACTTGGCTTGGTAGGAGATGGTCCAAACAGCTATCAGGTAGTTGAAACTCAAACTTGTTTGAGGTCTATTGAGGAGTTGCTGTAGTTTTAGCATTTATGATTATGGTGACCTAGATTATCTAAACCGGAGCTCTAGTGAAACTCACAATGTGTTTGTTTCAGATATGGCTCGGTGGTACTCCCAATCAAACTTCATTGGCAAAAACTTTCAAGGATAAGGTTAAGGTTCAGGATCTTGAAAAAGTTCTGGAGCCTTTATTTTTCCATTGGAGAAGAAAGCGACAATCTAAAGAATCATTTGGCGACTTCACAAACCGCATGGTAAGGAACACTTCTTTTAGTAGATAACATTGTATTTGTTAAAAGGTAATCTGATTGAAACAGAAAACATCATTTTTCTTTCATTCTATATTCTTTGAATGGGGAATCTGAATCATGTAAGATTCTTATCTTATGGATTTTAATTTTATTCCAGGGATTTGAGAAACTTGGAGAGTTTGTTGAAAAATGGGAAGGCATCCCCGAGTCATCATCTCGATATAACTTGAAGCTATTTGCTGATAGAGAGACTTACGAAGCCATGGATGCACTTGCAAGCATCCAAGATAAAAATGCCCATCAATTGGCAATTGAAGTAGTGCGCAATTATGTTGCTTCCCAGCAAAATGGGAAAAGTATGGACTGACCACGTCTTTCCTGTTGCAAAATAGCAAGATTGAGCAAGGAGGTATAACTGGTGCCCATGTCTTTAGCCTGTTATCTATTGGTAACAGTTGAAACAAGTGGAGAATTTTGACGTATATTCTGCAAGCATTTGTAGTACTTCACTTGTAGACCAACAGTACCCTGCAGTTTCTTTTCCTTGTTTATTTTTCGTTTCTTTTTGAAGAGTAAGCAAGATCTTACAATGGTCTGTTTTTTCTCTCGATTTTTTCAGAGGACTGTCTTTTAAAACTCCTGTACATGTCCAAATTTGCTGTGTTTTTAAAGGTGTTGTTTCGAGTTTAGTCTGTCTGCGCCTTGATTTATCCATGTTTCTGTTTACATTAGGACCTTTTTTATGTGTCAAAACTGTTCTTCTCTGCCCCTGCTATGTGGACTAAAGCATAGGATTAGGATTTGCACTTAGTTTACTAATGTTGCCAGGCCAGAGCAGTATTTCATCTCCCCACTCCCATAGCAGTGTTTGTCACCGTCATACCAAGTACCTCATTGGTTGTACTTCGCTTTGACACATTGGGAATTGCTCTGAATGATTTTCATACGGTATATGCTTATTTTGTTGAAATAGTTAGCTGGTTGTAAACGTAATGAATAGCTCTTTGTAACACAATACACCAGATTGAGCTATTTTCTACAGATTTTGACATCATAGCACCTTTCATAAGAAAGAAAAAGACTAAATAAAGTGGTGGTGTTCGATTCTATTTGCTACTTTCACATGTACAGATTGCCATGCACTTTTCTGGTCATGACTGTGAACCTTGGAATTGGAAATTTCACATTTACATGATTGAAGCAATAGCAAAATAGTTACTCTTATTATTTATTTGTACAGCCAAGTTCTGCATACATTGGCACATGAAAATTCTTACTTGCGGCATATTCTAGCTGTGGGCTTTGTAACACAAATTGGGGCATACTTCTTTGCCTCTGGTGTACCGCGCTTCGGCTCTTCCTCTGCCATGGCAATTCTTGCAAACGAACTTGCAGCAGCAGTAGCTAGCAAGGCAAAAGTCAATTCCCTCCTGCCACTGCTATTCTCTTCCTTTCTGTTTATCTCAATCTTTTCTATCTTAAAGGCTTTCACCATAACCATCTTTCCCTGAGTGGTCGTCGGAGGTGGGTTGGATATGGTGGTGGCTGAATTGCCAAGGAATGAGGATGAACTTGGTAGAGAAGACATTGTTGGAAGGTTTTAATTTTCTTTCAGAGATCCAAAGTTTTGGACTTTATAATTTGCATATAAATTGAATGTCTTTTGGTTAAGATTTCAATGTGACGAGGAGTAGGGTATCATCCAATTGAATGTTTTTTTTTTTTAAAAAAAAAAAAAAAAAAAAAAATTGGATCCAAAGCCTTATCCACAAAACTTGTGGTGTTAAATGAGCTTATACAGTTAAACTTTTCTATAAAATTTCGTTTGTTCCGAATTGTTTTGGATGATATAGCGAAGTGCTGTTATAGAGAACATATATTATAACATAACATAAAAATTGGTTCCGAAAAAGTTTGGCTTTTATAGAAAAGTGTTGTTACATAAGGATGTTATATAGAGGTCTGACTGTTTGTTTCTTTGTTTTCTCCGCATGACTTCTTAAGATTAAATTGACAAAATTATGCTACTCTTCACCATTAAGTTATGCATATTTGCGAGTCAATTGTCTCAATTTTTGCCAGTAGCATATTCAACTGGGGGTATTTTCCTAATATGTAATATATTGATAGACTTGCGACTATCCAATTTCTCGAGTTAAAAAGAAAGTGATTTCTCTGTCTCTTTTCGACCAAAAAATAGGCCATACAAGCTTGTAATTGATTATCTTCCTTTTTAGCAATAAAAGAAAAAGAGATTGCATGCTTTGGTTCAATTCAATTTTATATAACGAAAGGACGAAAATATATCCAATTATTTTTGGAATAATTTGTGTTGAATAAAGATTCTCTGATGCAAGTTATTTATAAAGTCCGTTATGGCACTTAAAAACTGAAATTGGCGACAGACGCTAAACTGGAAAAATCTATGCTAAAAGGGGTTAGCAACGGATTTCAAGCCGTAATATCCTTGTACTTAAGGATTTAGCGACATAATTTTTTTGGTGCTAATAGGATCTAAATTCAATTCCTATTATTATTATTATTTTTTGTAGTGATGTATTGGCAAAAGATTAAAAAAGAAAATGTGTTATGTTATTCAATTTGTCCAATTAATGCCTGATCATACGAATTTGCCTTGTAACATTATAAGTGACTTAACTGTCAATATTTTTCTACAATCCATGCATAAAAATTAAAATATTAAATCACTTTCAAGGAAAAGGTTTTTACATCATAATGTACTAGTACAAAAGAACATTCATATTGTAATTTGTAAACTTCCCTCTAACTTTATCAGTAGCGGCAAATTCTTGCAGTTGGATTTGTAACACAAACT